TCGGTTCTGAGTAATTCAGAATTGCCGCCACTTTGGTCCTAAGAGGTCGAATGCCTTGAGAAAGAAACGAAAATGGTGAGAGATTTGCAAACCTATGTGCCTTCAATAAACTGGTCATAGGCGCCACCATATTCCCACATAAAAGCATACACAAAACCACATGGACTTCACCGGATCACACCACGCAAAAGCAAATCAACCATATTTGCATCGACAAAACGTTCAGGAGGACGATGGAGGACGTGAGAACCAAGAGAGGAGCTGATATAGCCTCAGATCATCACTTGCTGGTCGCCAAGATGAAATTGAAACTCAAGAAGCACTGGACAATGGGGCGGACAATATCACAAAAGTTCAATACGGCCTTTCTTCAGGATACTAACAAACTCAACAAATTCAAGATAGTCCTCAGCAACAAGTTCCAGGCCTTTCATGATCTACTCAATGGAGACGGAACTACTGTGGAGAGCAACTGGAAGGGGATCAAAGAGGCAATCACTTCAACATGTCATGAGGTCCTGGGTCACAAGAAGCACCATCACAAGGAATCGATCACTGTTGATACCCTGGATGAGATTCAAGAAAGGAGGAATAAGAAAGCAGCAATCAAAATCAGTCGAACAAGAGCAGAAAAAGCCAAAGCACAAGCTGAATACACAGTAGTAAACAAACAGGTAAAGAAGAGCATCAGAACCGACAAACGTAAATACGTGGAAGATCTTGCAAAGACGACGGAAAAGGCTGCAAGAGAAGGAAATATGAGACAACTGTATGATATAACAAAGAAACTCTCTGGAAATCGCCACAAACCAGAACGACCAGTGAAAAGCAAGGAAGGCGAGGTAATCACCAACATTGAAGAGCAACAAAACAGGTGGGTAGAACATTTCAAAGAACTCTTGAATCGACCAGCTCCACTGAACCCACCCAACATCGAAGCAGCACCCACGGACCACCCAATCAATGTTGGCCCACTAACAATTGAAGAAATCAGCATGGCCATCAGACAAATCAAGAGTGGGAAAGCAGCAGGACCAGACAACATTCCAACCGAGGCAATGAAAGCAGACGTAGCGGCAAGTGCAAGGATACTCCACATTCTCTTCAATAATATTTGGGATGAGGAACAAGTACGAACAGACTGGAAAGAAGGACTTCTGAACAAAATACCGAGGAAAGGCGATCAGATATACTAGCTAAATCAGATATGGTAAAGCTGAGACCACCAGCAGAGCCCACCTTAAAAGTATTGTTAGCAATACTTGTCATAACCACATCATTGAGATACCAGCAATGAGGCCCGCACACACGACTGAGGATGCACTTCTCTAATTGGTCATTAATCTCAGACCGACTTCTGACGAGCTACATCCACGATTGCAGAAATCTCAAACAGACATTTTTTCCAAGACCACCCACAATGCTGAACATGTTTCTTCCCCACACTCAACCCCTACGGATTGGAGCTCATTGTGGAACAGGCTCCCAATGCCTATCCGTAATTGTGACACTATCGCCAAGTTCAAAATTCTAATTACCGTCTCTAGACTCTAGGGAGCTTCACCAACTATTCCCAGGACTACCCCCTTCAATCGTGAGGCACTTTGCTGGGGACCAACTAATATTTAGACCGATCATGAATATAACGGACTACAATCGTCATTCATATATGACAAACCAAATAGAATAGCACACAGCTCCCCTTCTTTCATTATTCATTACTAGTCATGCCCTTCATACTCCGAATCTCTCTAATCTTCAAAGTCGCATAATTTTTTTTCCATGAAGTCCCATTTGAATTTCTATTTCAAGTTGACAGATAACTAACCAACCCCATGAGTGCTTCTAAAATCTGCCCGGTCGTAAGAAGCTTGTAATATAATAATTAATTGTGAACTCCTCCTTAGTTCATGTTCTAAAAGTTTAAAGAACTTTTTAGAGTCTAAACGTTTCGTTTTCATACTTACTTTTCGTCTTACTCAGAAATTCTGCAACTCTTGATCAGTTGTTATAATCAGTCACGAAAACTAAATGTCAATAATCCGAGAATAAGCGAACTGATGTTCCAAAAAGCAACTTTTGTTGTTTACCATTTCTTTCCCACCATTCTCTTTAAAACAATCCAATATTGGAACTTCTTGTCAGTTCTACCCCTCTAAATTATCTACATGGTCAGACGACTAGGTTCAAAGTGAGTACCTTGCCGATTATTTGTGCATTGCAGAGGCGTTGACAATTGGTCACTGTATACAGAAACCTGATATCTAAAAGTAACATGTGCCAGTTCTTATCCCACCATAACCCTAGCACCTAATCTTCCACTGCTTTCAACTTTTAGTCATTTATTACCAACTTCATGTTTTAAATTTCACCGTTCTTATACTTGTCAAATCACCCTTTCTCTTTCTCCTGGTGATCGATTGGATCATGAAGACGTCAACATCTGAAGGGAAACACGGGATACAATGAACATCCAGGATGCAGTTGGACGATCTGGACTTCGCAGATGATCTGGCCCTTCTATCCTAAACGCAACAACAAATGCAGGAGAAGACGAACAGTGTAACAGCAGTAGGTCTCAATATACACAAAGGGAAAAGCAAGATTCTCCGATACAACACAGCATGCACCAATCCAGTCACAATCGACGGAGAAGATTTGGAAGATGTAAAAACCTTTACATATCTGGGTAGCATCATTGATGAACACGGTGGATCTGATGCAGATGTGAAGGCGCGGATCGGCAAAGCAAGAGCAGCATATTTACAACTGAGGAACATCTGGAACTCAAAGCAACTGTCAACCAACACCAAGGTCAGGATTTTCAATACAAATGTCAAGACAGTTCTATTGTACGGCGCAGAAACCTGGAGAACTACGAAAGCCATCATCCAGAAGATACAAGTGTTTATTAACAGTTGTCTACGCAAATACTTCAGATCCATTGGCCAGACACAATCAGCAACAATCTACTGTAGGAGAGAACAAAACAGATTCCAGCGGGGGGAGAAATCGGGAAGAAGCGCCGGAAGTGGATAGGACACAGATTGAGGAGAGCACCCAACTGCGTCACAAGACAAGCCCTCACATGGAATCCTCAAGGCCAAAGGAAAAGAGAAAGATCAAAGAACACATTACCCCAGGAAATGGAAATAGACATGAGGAAAATGAACAAGAATTGGATGGAACTAGAAAAGAAGGCCCAAGACAGAGTGGGTTCGAGAATTCTGGTCCGCAGCCTGTGCTCCATTGAGAGTAACAGGCGTAAGTAAGTAAGTTAGTATGTATGTATGTATGTATGTATGTATGTATGTATGTATGTATGTATGTATGTATGTATGTATGTATGTATGTATGTATGTATGTAAGCAAGTAAGTAAGAACTTTTACAGCAATGCCATGTTTTTGTAGTCGTTCGAAAACAAGATCCAGATGCTTGAGATGTGATTCTCTGTTCGGACTTGCGATTAGGCAGTCGTCAACATACGCATGTACGTAGTTGATACCTCGAAAAATGTCGTCTATGAATCTTTGGAATGTTTGAGCAGCGTTTCTTAGACCGAAAGGCATTCGCAAAAATTCATAGAGTTCGAAGGGAGTAATGATGGCGGTTTTCGGAATGTCGTCAGTAGCCATAGGGATTTGGTTATATGCTTTAACCAAGTTGATTTTCGAAAAAACAGTTCTACCTTTCAAGGTAGCTGTCAAATCGTGAATGTGAGGCAATGGGTAACGATCGAGAATGGTTTTTGCATTCAATCTCCAATAGTCGCCGGTTGGATGCCAATCATTGCTGTCCTTTTTAGGGACCATGTGCAACAGAGATGCATATGGGCTATTTGACGGTCGTATGATTCCTAAGTCTATCATGTGGTCGAACTCGTTTTTCGCCAACCTTAGCTTTTCATGGGCTAGTCGTCGTGCTTTGGAGAATACAGGTGGTCCTGTAATCGTGATGTGATGTGTAACGTTGCTGGTTACACACGGTAATGTCGGTTGCGTTTGATGAATGCCAGGATACTTGTCGAGTAGTGGTTGATAAAGTGGGTCTATCGTATGCTTAATTATGACTGGGGACAATCTGCAACCAGAAAAGGAAGTTACGCAAACAGATAAATTAGTGTTTCCGTCTACTAGCCTACGTTTGCGCGTATCGATGATTAGATTATGGTGTTGTAGAAGATCCATACCGATGATTGGCATAGAAACATCTGCAACAACGAAAATCCAGTGAATGGGTTTGCGTAAACCCACGTTCATGTAAACGTACATTCTGCCATACGTAGCGATCGGTTTTCCGTTTGCCGCCTGTAAGTTTAGAGTTGATTCGTGGAGCCGGTCGTTATGGCTTGCTGGGAGAACGCTAACTTCTGCGCCAGTGTCGACGAGGTAGCGAACTCTCGTTGTCACATCTGTGACGTACAACAGACGGCTATGTTCGCCGGCTACGGTTGCCGTTAAAGTGTGCCGGCTCGGAAGTTTCCCGAGTTGTTTTTCGAGTCAGTCGGCTTCGTGTTGGGAAAATTGCAGGGTTTTCTGCCATTTCTGGAAGACTTTTCATACTAATTATGATATCAGCACCAGTCAGGGTTATCCGTCTCTCGTGGTCCAGAGACAGATCGCTAACGTGAAATGCTTCTACTTGAGGTGCGTGGTCGCTCACGGTCATTACGAAAATTGAGATACCGCGTAAGTGTATGACATAACTCGGTTATGTCATTTTGATGTCGAAAACTTACAGAGCTATTTAGTTTGAGGATTTATTTACCGCTACACTCTAAAAGTAAAGTTTGACAGTTACTCCAGTTCCATTGAGACCAAAGAAAACTGCTCAAACTATTATTCTTCAGTAAGTCATTCCACTGATAAACAATTTTTTATTGTCTAGGTTTCAAAGTAACGAAGTAGGCATTTGATATTCTTGCAACGAAAGCCAAGGCCCAAATCCTGCGGAATGAACAGTTCGCTACTACTTCCTTTGAATGTTTATTTGCACTTAGGTCAACTACCTGTCGTGTTGTGCGGATCATGCGGTTCACTTGCTGTCCCGGTATCCTAGTTTCTCTTAGCCTCCGATTTTTGGTTACACGAGTGCCTATAAATCACAGGTAGGTTCCGATGATGAGATCAAGGCTTGTCGAGTGCTTCTGGACCACGACTCATTGGCTGTCAAGTCTGTCACATACCCCCTCGTGGCTCTTCGTCTTACCCACTGCTGTGAGATACAGTGAGTGTAAATTGGAGCCGTAATTAGTCGGATATAAAACTGTTTGACAAAAAGGCGTCAAACTAAAACCATCCGTACAGACATTAGGTTTACCCCCTCCCTAACCATCATCGGCGACTGACAGTTTGGTCCTGTTCCCATGACTTTCCCTTTAGTAATCTGAGGTACTACTGACGTGATACTTCTTTCTGTTTCAGCGAGTCAACTGCAAAGATTAGTTGGAAAAATATCCGATGAGAATTGTGGATAAATACTGGGTAAGCGCTAGCATTACTCATGACCCGAGATGTTTAATATATTAACTGGTTGTAATTATTGATTCATATCCCTTTTACTTTATTATAATAAAAACTGAAGACTCCCTATCTATCTTTGGTAAAAATTCGTCACTTGATAGATATAATGATGTAAAATACCAGTTACCTCAAAATACCACCCGTATGCATACTATTTTAATACTCGGTGTCGGCAGTGGGATTCATGTCGGTTACTTGAACTAGACATCTTAGAGTGTTGAGAGGTCTCATTGAGCTCCACACAGTTTTATGCAGATTGAAAAACCTCGATGTACGTCTGACAAGCCTGTCTCAGGACAGTTGTATTTCTGGATACCAGAGGTTGTCACTCATGAGGCGACTGTGGTCACTTCTGGTCTCCCAGTCTTTGACATTCTTTGACACGCTTGCGTAAACCAATTGATTTGTTTGTACTTACCTATTGACATCACGGTACAGTCCCAAGATTTGTTTCGTTTTTTGGAGTAGTAAACATTGGCTGTATTTATTCTGATGCAGTATACAACTCGATCAGATAGCTAGTTATCCTAGAAGTAAATTCTCTGATAAGGCCCAAACACATATTAGTTCTCTTTAAGCCTGATGAAATTCGAAAAATCAGCAGATGATTAAGTGCGCCTAAGACTGTCAGCTTGCAAATCTAGGGTTCAGTAGGATAAGACCTCAAATCCACCACACTAGTAAATCTAATAGTTATTTAGGGGTTGTTATTTCTTGTGTATATCTGGTTGCATTTGTTCCATTGAAGTAGGGCTTCAACCTGCAGCAATCAGACTACCGAAAAAGTGAATAGTTCTTTGTTGCATGAAAAGTTATGAAATGGGAATTTAGAATGTAGAGAAGCAAAGAGAAGATAACTTTTATGACGTGAAGGAGTAGTTTACACAAATGGTGTGAATAAGCAAGAGTCTAAGTATAATGGATTTGACATAGGGATTGCTTCGTGTTGCAGTTTGTTGATTTCCTCAGTGTATGCCCTATCCACCCCCAGAATCTTTTCCCTGATTTCCTCTCCAGCCAGAAGCTAGCTTGCTCTCTCTCAAAGTAGGTTGTTACTGGTGGTACCCGACTCTCGACAATTGTTTTAAATACTTACACTATTTTGACGACGGTCGTAGTAGTTCTCCAAGTTTCAGCTCTATACGGTAGAACTGTCTTAAAGTTCGTATTGAAGATTCTGACTGATGTTGGCTGACAGTTGTTTTGAGTTCCACATGTTCTTCAGTTGCGAGAATGCTCCCCTTGCCAATCCTTACCTTCACATCTGCATCAGATCCTCCTTGTTTATCAACGATGCTCCCTAGATATGTGAAATTTACGACCTCTTCCGGATCTTCTCCATCAAGTGTGATTGGGTTGGTGCTCGCTGTGTTGCATTTCAGGATCTTGTGCATGTTAAGGCCTGATTCAGAGGAGGTTGCTATACTAGCTGTCTACACCCATATTCGTTGGTATGTATGGGATAGGAGGGATAGGTCATCTGCGAAGTTCAAATCGCCTAGTTGCATCCAAGCTGTTCATTGTATTCTTTACTTCCACTATGTAGAGGTCTTTATAATACAGCCGGTCACAAGAAGAGAAAAGACGATCACAAGCAGCCTTGTTTGACACAGGTCTTTACTTGGAATACATCTGTGATCTATCTTCCATGCACGACCTTGCAGTGCAGTAAGCTGTGTGATGTTGATGATCTTAGCAGGTCCACTATGTTGTCGAAGAAGGTTCCATAAATCTCTCTTATCTGCGCTGTCAAACGTTTTCTCTTAGTCAAGAAAGTTGTTGTGTAGTGACGAGTCCCATTTTTGTAGATAATTCGACCCAAGAGAGCATCAGAGCCTGATGGATTAAGTCCTCAGATCTTTAGGGATGTTAGTCCAGTTTTACCGGTCAAGTTAACTGAAATCTTAGCTAGAACCTGAGAACTGCATGAAATCTCATCTGACTGGTCTCGATCGCTGATCATCTCAGTTTATAAGAAGGGACAAAAATCCTCTTGTGACAATCACAGAGGAATCTGTTTAACTAAGATGTCTAAAATATTAGCCTCGTTAATACTTCGACGTTTAATTAGAGCTCGTTAGGAGCAAACCCAAGAAAACCAGGCTGGTTTCAAACGTAAACGAGTATGTATAGACCGAGTATTCACCCTTCACCAGGTTCTGAAACATAGACATACCGTTCGATGTCCGATTATAGTTATATTTCTTGACCTTAATACGGAGTTCAACTACGAGGATCATGAGGTTCTGTGGCGGTGTCTATCATTGAAAGATATCCCAAAGAAGTACATTAACATTATACAGGCTCTCTTCTCGAACATTTCTAGTTGAGTCAGAGCTTGTGGAAAACTATCCGGGTCATCTGCTTCTTCCATTTTTATCCAACTCGTCGTTGACATGTTATTAAAAGTAACACTTCGATTGCTTACCTTTTCAGGAGTTTTCCTATCGGGAGATTCACTTGTTGACTTGGAGTACCTCGATAATATAGTTCTGTTTGGTGCTGACACAATGCAGTCTTCTAACCACATTAAATAACGACACAAGCATGTTTCGGACGTGATTCTAACCCTCCAAATCCAAAATGTTGCTTCAGGATTGACCTGAGTTTGTCATAGGGAGTGAAGTAGTTGGACGTATCGACCACCTCACTTATCTTGAGAGTCTCATCCGCACTGATGGTCTGATTTTTGAAGAAATCTCAGCAGGAATTCAGAAGGTCTTATTGGCATTTGCCAACTTGCTGTATGGGGAAGGTATCGTGCTTCCAGTTTGTAATTGCTTGATGAGTACATTCGCCAAGTGATCATAATTTTTTTATGCTTTGACAGTCCTAATTTTCCGAGAGTTTATTATTATGTAAATTAATTCTTACTCTATGTTACATTATCGTATGCCAGTCATATATGTACAGGTTAAATTATAATGTTTATTATATGTAATAAAATATTTGACGTCAAATACTAACAGACAATATTTAAGATTATAGGGATTATTCTGAACGCCACAGCAGGTAATTGTTGATTAAATGTTAGCTAAATAATCGTGTTACTTGTCAGGGTATGAAAGAAAGTAGATAATACTTATAGATTTACGCATTATCAAATATCAATTACAGACTTAATGTGTGACTGAACTTCTGGCAGTTAGCTTGTACTAATTATGGCCCTGAGTCTTGTTGGAAACACTTATAAATATTTATTCTTCGTCATTGTTCAATAGATCTCATTATCTTCTAAAGATTAATATTGTGTCTCAGTTAAAATTGCTAACCAAATGTCTTATTCAGCAAGGAGTTTGAGTAGTATTTCAATCTTACTGTAAGGTTTCGCTAACAAGGTGAATGTATATGTTTGCCAGTTCCAAGGTGTTTTGGTAGTAAAACAGGATTTCACGTACAAAATATTCGGCCGTTTATTTGTTGGTTCGAGCCTTACTGTACTAGTAAAGGTTTCATTACGTCTAAAGTAGATTTACCGGTAACACAATACATAGATAGTAGTCTGATTGATATAAGCTAACTGATTTTATTTAGTGCAGTCACAGTACCTCACTACACAAGAATAGTCAAACTGGAAGATGCACATAAAGGCGTCCAGACAAGTGAGGGAACATTTTTTGTTCTTTCAAATATCCTCAAGTGTGTCTACATTTAATCGGATAGTTTGTGTACTTCATCCTATTCGAAGTCGTGGGGTAGCAGTATAAAGAAGTCTTGAAGCAAAAAGTGACTGCCATGTCTTCGTTTTTCACTCAATGGTTTTCTAGCTGATTTCAGATCCTGGCGACCAATACTTGCAAACAATACAAAGTTCTTCACAACATCATGTAATTAAACCATTATTAATTTTTTAACAATGCCATAAATATTGATGCTTAATCTAAATATATTTAGGCGTATTGGAATGTTTTAATAAATACTGAATGCATAGATAGTTTAAAAGATATGAAATCCTAAACCATTGAAAAAATTGGTTGGAGTACATAAATTCGAGTTACTGGACTTAATACTAGAATTTAACAAATTGTTATAACGTTGGACTGACTAAATTGCGTCAACCTAGGCATTCAAACTTGAATCGTATCATCAAGGGCCAGATATTACGAATAACGATGTACATTTGCACAATCCAGATAGTAAAGAGGTGAGGAAGCACAATGAAGTTATTTGCAATCTGAAGTAGCTCACTACACTTGCGATCCATAAGATTATTTGGATCTACGCTCACTTGCCAATCACCCCTTCCATCGAACATCTCACTCATAGGTAAGAATTGTCACTTAACTTGAGAATAAAAGAGTCAAGGACAGTTCAGCGGAAATATTCCATTCGACTGTGTCACTTACTCGAGCCCTACTAATGTACTTGCAGTGATTCACGAATAAATCAGTCCTTTGAAAAATAGTGAGTAGATTGCGGAATAAATTTCTCCGAAATGTCAAGTGTCGAAAGAGGGTTAAAAACGATCGATGATCTGAAGAAAAAGGGTGAGATGACGTCAAATATGTGAAAGGTAACTGTCCTTTTGACAAGTATTACTTACGCCTGTTACTCTCAATGGAGCACAGGCTGCGGACCAGAATTCTCGAACCCACTCTGTCTTGGGCCTTCTTTTCTAGTTCCATCCAATTCTTGTTCATTTTCCTCATGTCTATTTCCATTTCCTGGGGTAATGTGTTCTTTGATCTTTCTCTTTTCCTTTGGCCTTGAGGATTCCATGTGAGGGCTTGTCTTGTGACGCAGTTGGGTGCTCTCCTCAATCTGTGTCCTATCCACTTCCGGCGCTTCTTCCCGATTTCTCCCCCCGCTGGAATCTGTTTTGTTCTCTCCTACAGTAGATTGTTGCTGATTGTGTCTGGCCAATGGATCTGAAGTATTTGCGTAGACAACTGTTAATAAACACTTGTATCTTCTGGATGATGGCTTTCGTAGTTCTCCAGGTTTCTGCGCCGTACAATAGAACTGTCTTGACATTTGTATTGAAAATCCTGACCTTGGTGTTGGTTGACAGTTGCTTTGAGTTCCAGATGTTCCTCAGTTGTAAATATGCTGCTCTTGCTTTGCCGATCCGCGCCTTCACATCTGCATCAGATCCACCGTGTTCATCAATGATGCTACCCAGATATGTAAAGGTTTTTACATCTTCCAAATCTTCTCCGTCGATTGTGACTGGATTGGTGCATGCTGTGTTGTATCGGAGAATCTTGCTTTTCCCTTTGTGTATATTGAGACCTACTGCTGTTACACTGTTCGTCTTCTCCTGCATTTGTTGTTGCGTTTAGGATAGAAGGGCCAGATCATCTGCGAAGTCCAGATCGTCCAACTGCATCCTGGATGTTCATTGTATCCCGTGTTTCCCTTCAGATGTTGACGTCTTCATGATCCAATCGATCACCAGGAGAAAGAGAAAGGGTGATTTGACAAGTATAAGAACGGTGAAATTTAAAACATGAAGTTGGTAATAAATGACTAAAAGTTGAAAGCAGTGGAAGATTAGGTGCTAGGGTTATGGTGGGATAAGAACTGGCACATGTTACTTTTAGATATCAGGTTTCTGTATACAGTGACCAATTGTCAACGCCTCTGCAATGCACAAATAATCGGCAAGGTACTCACTTTGAACCTAGTCGTCTGACCATGTAGATAATTTAGAGGGGTAGAACTGACAAGAAGTTCCAATATTGGATTGTTTTAAAGAGAATGATGGGAAAGAAATGGTAAACAACAAAAGTTGCTTTTTGGAACATCAGTTCGCTTATTCTCGGATTATTGACATTTAGTTTTCGTGACTGATTATAACAACTGATCAAGAGTTGCAGAATTTCTGAGTAAGACGAAAAGTAAGTATGAAAACGAAACGTTTAGACTCTAAAAAGTTCTTTAAACTTTTAGAACATGAACTAAGGAGGAGTTCACAATTAATTATTATATTACAAGCTTCTTACGACCGGGCAGATTTTAGAAGCACTCATGGGGTTGGTTAGTTATCTGTCAACTTGAAATAGAAATTCAAATGGGACTTCATGGAAAAAAAATTATGCGACTTTGAAGATTAGAGAGATTCGGAGTATGAAGGGCATGACTAGTAATGAATAATGAAAGAAGGGGAGCTGTGTGCTATTCTATTTGGTTTGTCATATATGAATGACGATTGTAGTCCGTTATATTCATGATCGGTCTAAATATTAGTTGGTCCCCAGCAAAGTGCCTCACGATTGAAGGGGGTAGTCCTGGGAATAGTTGGTGAAGCTCCCTAGAGTCTAGAGACGGTAATTAGAATTTTGAACTTGGCGATAGTGTCACAATTACGGATAGGCATTGGGAGCCTGTTCCACAATGAGCTCCAATCCGTAGGGGTTGAGTGTGGGGAAGAAACATGTTCAGCATTGTGGGTGGTCTTGGAAAAAATGTCTGTTTGAGATTTCTGCAATCGTGGATGTAGCTCGTCAGAAGTCGGTCTGAGATTAATGACCAATTAGAGAAGTGCATCCTCAGTCGTGTGTGCGGGCCTCATTGCTGGTATCTCAATGATGTGGTTATGACAAGTATTGCTAACAATACTTTTAAGGTGGGCTCTGCTGGTGGTCTCAGCTTTACCATATCTGATTTAGCTAGTATATCTGAGCTTCCTTTCAACAGTAATTGAGGAATGCCATTACTACGTTTCCGTTTAATTTACGAAAAATATCGTTTCGGGCAGGTACGTATATAATATGCCAACTGTCTTTCATGTGTGGTGGCATTTGGCCATGTTCCTTTTACATATGGATGACAGTGGGTGTGTTATATTAATGATTGGATTTTTCGGTATTTACGCTTAACTGGTTTTTGGCAAGAATAAGTTCCAGAAGTGTTTTTTATATCTTCACGGCTTCGAGTTCCCTCATGTGATAGTCGATGTGTTGACCATAGGGTGAACAGTAGTGTTGCAGACTCAAATGTCTTCGATAGACCCATCTGTACTGACCGACCAGTCCTTTTGTAGAGCACAGTCTCTGATTGCCGGAATATTATCACCTCAGATATTGGGACGGGGCGGAGCAGATACATACTGTATATTGCGTCCGAAAATCATGGTACAGTACAACATGATCACTGCAAGTTGGGGGAGGTAATAGTTGTCAATAACGTCATCACAGTGGTGTGTAAAGACAAGGTTCAGCAATCGCGGTCCGTGTTCGAAGTCACTGTGTCAATTTTACGAAAGATTGCACAAGTGCACACCGAATAATGGTTAACAGCAGGCTGCTAACAAAACATCCACCCGAAGTTGTAAACTGCATACAGTTGATATGCGGCGCGTTGAAATCTCCAACGATGAGACAACAGTTGACCTTACTTCAAGGACAGATATGACTAAAGGCAAACTCGTCAGCTAGACATCATGGACTACGGTACACTCCTCTTATGGTTAATAACCCATGTCTAGATTTAATTGTACAACGAGCTATAGCTATGCCAGGTATACCTCACATGTACCACTGTCATGCGTCTCAGATGTGCTCAATTGAACACGAGTGGTTCCCCAACATGTGATATTATGCCTCCTCGCGATTTATAACTCTGTCACTTCTAATATAGATGTACCTTACACATTAGAGAACAGTCTACATCTATAATGAGCCACGTCTATGTGACAACAATGATATCGGGACTTAATCCACCTACCTTAAAACTTGGCTCAGACGTTTTATTTCTAAGACTATGAGAGTTTGTGTAGTACACATTTAAATTGTTGTGAGAATCACTCGTTCTACCCATACAGGTCTCGGAAACATTGGGTTTCAAGACCTAACTATCCAAAAATCCTGGATCTTAAGGTTTGTCACGCTAGGCGGATCATGGATGAGCACTGCTGAGGAGTCCAACAGTGGGACGAAACGGTCGTCCAGTGCTTCCAGGTTTTCCATGGTTGTCTAGCTTCGATTGACTCATGGCATCAACTACTAAAATTATTATTATGTCGTCATTCAACCAAACAATCGAGAAATGCATCCAAATATGATTGGATTAGCACAACATAGATTTGATTGCTCTACGCTATATATTCCCTTGATTATTACCTTGAGGAAGTCCAGACAGGTTTGTTGGACAAAACGTTGGAATTATATAAATTTCAATCGCTGAGATTATTTCAAATATAATAACTTTGCGCCCAGTTTTTGTCAAATTATTCGTTTTAATATTCACGAATATTCGTATAAAATATTGTTCACTTATATATGTTGTTCTAAATCACAATACGGGAATTTTTCGAAGTTAGTAAGATTTTGAGACAAACATTGTTAAATACCTAACAAAAAAGAGTAAACAAAGTTTGCTATAAAATCGTCAGTGCACCTTATCTAGTGGGGAAATTCATAAGTCAAGTATGTCAGAATTGAAGAGTGATGTCTACAAGGTGTGGTGGAAAAAGACCAACTGTCCAGTCGAGACTAATTCCTCTTGATCTCAACGCACGTAATGTTGTAAGATCCTTTCGGGTCGCGCATAAGAATCCCTTTTCATACACATTTTGTCCTGTAACTTGTTGCTTTACTTATAAGTGTGAAGTTACTATTCGTACATCTCGTCGAGTTGTTGGTTGTAACTGAGACGGTACCATTTATTTTTATTGTTGTAGTTTAAGTCGTTCTTACGATTCCACTGAATTCCCCTGAACTATTTCTACGTTGTCTCACTTGACATTATGATTCTGGCGGCTCCCATATTGATTCGTTCACCCTTTTGTGTTGCTAGGACTGTACATTTATTGACTGCGAATTGAAATACACTTACAGGACACTGCGTCGTAATAAGTAATTCTTAATACCTTTGATATTGATAATTTTATAGAAATAATCTTCAAAATAAATTTGCCATAAGTAATCGGAGTTTGATAACGCCTTAACCAGAAACACCCTTATAATCGAAGTATGTCAACTCAATCATCAGAAGTGGAGTTCGAGGTTATATTTGGAAGGCTATTGGTATGTCGAAGGAACGTTTGGTCTAAGCTGGCTAGTTGTTCAAAGGGATTCGTAGCACAGCGTACTCACTCGCAATCTGGTGTGGATGTGTGACCGAGCGCCTTCAGCCAGGTGAGTCCAATAAAACTAATGCGGTCAGCGTCAAATGTCGAAGACTTACAGAAATATTGATTTTGGGGACCTGTTTACCGCTACAAACTTTTGAAAAAAATGTTTGTGATCTCTCCAGAAAGGACAGAATTATATACCTGCACCAATAGAAACGTTTATTTGTTGAAATTATTAACTATATTATGTCTTTTATTATTATTAGTAATGGCTTTATTCAGTTTATCTACTTAAAGCAATTTATATGTGATTAGTTATTGAATAACTTTGATGCAGTTTTGTTCTCTGAGTTAGATGTTCTGATCGTGGAGCTCTCATCGTTCTTCTGAACGACATCATCAGCACAAACTTCAGATAGAAGTGAAGCGTCCGGATTTCTCCATAAGTATTTCACAGCTTGTCCTGTACACCTCGATGTTGACTGGTTCTTGTTGACCTTAAATCTTCTCCACTATTGAATAACTGGATGATGATATTTGTTTAAACTGATAACAATTAATAGGATCATTCCCTACCCAAACACTTGTTTTAAATTTCGAATGGGCAAGAGCATGGGTGTCTAAACCGA